TATACCTGGAGAGAGAGATACTAATATTTACATAGATAATGGTGGTACATAGCTAAAGAGTCAAACCTCAGTTCTCGAATGTCTCTCATCTCCAACAATTCAGTTCTTGATCAAGTTCATGGAAAACATGTCTCAAACAAAGGAGAGAATGTGCCAGTATGAGTCAGTTTACTGCTAATGTCCCAGGAAATTGTTCTATGAATATTTTTATGGTTTTTTTTGTTTGTTTGTTTGTTGCTGGTGAAATGGAAGATTAGCACAAATTTAAAACGTAAGGAGACCATCAAGTGTGCTAATGTTGCTAATGGAGTGAAAGAAACAATGATCACAGGCAATTGAAAAGGCAGAAAAACTGTTGTTGATTTGGATAAATTAGCCAGTGACTGCAAGCGGAGATGCCGAATTCTGACCTCCTGAAAGACATCCCTAGAAAGACTGCTGAAAGTTATTCCTTTAAGGCTGGTAGGGGTTAGAGTCTAACCGTTAGACCAATAAATTTAAGAAAATAAGTATTCATTTATACATTAAACAATACATTAGACATATTCTGTATATAAGAAAGGTTAAAACAAAGAATCATTTGGGGGTCTGGAACAAATTAATTCCATTTACATTATTTCTAATGGGAAAAAATGATTCCGTTTTAGAACAGTTAGCTCCTTGAACAGCCTTGCAGTACGAATTAAGTTTGAGAACTGAGGTTCCACTCTATACCCTTACATAATCAATTCACAAATACATAGATCTATTATCTTCAAAAAAAGTAGATGAGAGGAGGGTGTCACTGATGTGAATAAACATATAATCAATACCATATAATCAATACCACCTACTACCCCTACATGATAATATGGCCAGTTTGGGGGAATACAAAGTACAGATACCTCCTCTTATTTTTACCTCCCCATGCTTCCTATTAATTTTATCCTATTCTGACTTGGAAGTTGGAACTTGATGATAGAAATGGCTGACAATGGCCATTTCAGGAGGACAAAAATGGATGGCAACCATGAATTTTCTACCTGGTCCGTGATTCCCCAGGTTTTCTGTTTAAATTAAAGAACATGTAGGTGGGAGTAGCAAAGCTAGTTGGCAAAGAGATTTGAAAGGATTTGATGGAACTCTGTATGTTTGACATGTAGAAGATAATTCAGAATTGAATGAAGTCTCCCCACAGAATGAGGGGTATGTTAAATGCTTTCTGTAACAGGGTATATTAAAAGACGATGTCTTTTATTAGGGTCAGAATAGTGATAGAGATTTTATTATAGGAGTTGCAGTCAGTTTCATTACTTTATAATAAATTCTTCATGCTTTAAAAGGTGACCAAATCATGCATTGTCACCCCCTCTCTTTCTCTCTCTCTCCCCACCTCTTTTTCTCTGTCTCTAATTTCTTCATCTGTAAGGGGAGGAAACCATTTATAGATAGAAATGGCTTTTAAAAGATACTCTCCCAGGAAACAGTTGTTATTTTTTTCTTAATAAAATATTTCATAAAGAGTTAGAGCATAATTAATAGGTACTTATCTTTATCATGCCTATTGCTTGAATGTTTTGAAAGAATAATTATTTTGCAGAGGTGTCCTTAAACCACCTCTGAGCCAGCATTCCTTGGAGTATCCTGGTTGTATTTCTTCTGGACTATGACACAGAAAACTTAGAGAAATGGAGAAGCTGTTCAGTGATGTTCTTCTAAAACATATTGCCTATCCATGCCACTGGTGATGGGCCCTTCTGGTGTCATGTAGTATAACTAGTATACTATAGTATCGTGTAGTATATCGTATTACTATACTATATTGTAATTAAATATAATTATTATTACTATATTATATTATACCAAGTAGTATGTACATAGTTGTTAATTATTATTTTGGAGTACTATGATTAGAAAACTACCTTAGAAATTGCCAGGCCCTCGTAAGTAAAATAATGACTTAAGACTTGAGTAGTTTGTGGCTTATTTATTTTTTATAGAAAAGGAGTGGAATTGTACTAACAATTCCTCTTTACAATTATTCTGAATTGAAGATCATTTTATTCTTTAGAGAAAATGTCCAGAAAACTATTGCTGTGGACTTTTGAAGGTAAGAATTGACTAGTTAGAAAAAAATAACAGTGATGATGTTGGCTTTTCTAGGCCATAGGATGTATTTTAGAATATCCTCATAGCTTTATGAATTTTGAGCTGACTTGCCCATTTTCTCCAGGTGGCATGTCCTCTAATAGTTTTATATAAACCTGTTGGAACTTGAACTATTTAACTTGAAGGAGTTGCCTTCCTGCAGCTTTTGATTCCACTTTTAGCTGCCATCTACTCTTCTGTGTATTTATAAAGTAAATGCCATGTAAATAGGAACCCAGGATAGGGTTACTTGTTCTCAAAAGGTCATCTACCAACTGCAGTTGCTGAGTAAGTATTTCTGCATCCAGGGATGTTTATAATAGTCTTGTTTCCATTTATTTTTGCAGAGTGTAGTGAAGCTGATGAGGGGACTGCTGCACTGCATGATCAGACAGGTATGCCATTGTTAACAGCTCCCTCTCTAATAAAAGCACATTGTAATAGTATATATATATATTAGATACTAATTTTAGAAAAGTTGTAGAATTGAGGGAAGCAATGTCACCCATGATTTTACCACCGAGTTACCACTGGAATGCTTCCTTACAGTCTTTTTTTAACCCCTCTGCAAATGATTTTTAATATACTTTGCATTGCTGTACATGCAATTATGTATATTGAGTAAAATATGATACAGTTTTATAAGCCATCATCTGAAACCCTTGGGACCAGATAAATTTTAGAATTCAGAATTTTTCACATTTTAGAAGGTGCTACAGTGCATATACTATACAGTATGTTATGCCCTCAGCAGGTCCAAAGCAGCATTAATTTTTAATTGTTTTTATTAAATACATTAATCTCTCTGTAGGGAAACACACATTTTCACACCAATAAAATTAATAAAAACTATAAATAGCTCCATATAAAAATAAATTTTGGTTAAAAACTTAGGGGAAAAATCCTTTAGAAGTGTCTCAGATTTTATGATTGGAGATAAGGAGCCAAGGACTTACATCCCCTTGCATTAATTTGCATTTTCCTCATCTTGAGTTAAGTTGAGCATCCTTTCATGTGTAGCTTAAAACTTCGCATTTTGTCTTCAATTAAATTGCCTGTTAGGTCTTTTGAGTGTTTCTTTTGGACTGTCTATTTCTTGCCTATTTGAGGAGTTCCCGAACATACTGCAAATAATTTTAGCAGGCCACAATTTATCTTTTACGTTGTTTATGATATTTTTTTCATTCAAAAGTGTTTTACAAAAATTGTGCTTTCCCTTTATCATAGAAGATCTTTACATAAGTTGCACACCTTGAATCTGAATTGATTTTCTTAAAACCAATATTTTATTAGAAGAAGCAATTGAGGCCCAGATTAATAAAATGACCATTCACAGTCATTCAACAAGTCTAAAATAAAAGAAATCAACTCTAGACTTACTAAGCTTTTTCACTAGTGCTCTCTCTATGGTTATCTCACAGCCATCATTTCTTCTTTTTTTCCTTCTTTGCTATTTTTTAAAAATCTTTAGATATTTTCATTTTCTACCTAATCAAATAGGTTTAAAGTTACTAATTTAATGAACCATATTTAAAGGTATAATAGTTACTATTATATATCAGGTGCACACATAATCAAATCTAAGCTTCAGGAACTAATTCTTTTAGTTAGAGTACTACAGATGTGTGCCATATGGGTTGCTTTTTCAGCAGAGCCTTCTATGACTGTTTTTGTTTTTTTTTCAGGTGGATAAAGTAGAGTCCTTCAAATACAGTCAAAGTACCCAGGATAGCCTCCATGCCAAGTACAACACAAAAACCTGTGCCACTGTAGTGGGTGACGACCAGTGGGGACACCTGCAATTGGATGCTACCTCTGTGTACCTGCTCTTCTTAGCACAAATGACTGCCTCAGGTCAGTACAAGGACAGAAGTAGTGGGAGCCATGGCAGTGTGGAGTACTTGTTCTACCACACATGCCTTTTCCAGAAAACAACAAAGCTCTCTACATTGCTCAAAGATGCACATTGAAAACATAATATTTTGCAAATTTTATAAAGAGAAACAATTTTTTTGAGATCTAGTTGGTATTCTTTTACATTGAAAAACAAGTCTGTGGAAGTTATTAATATTTTTCATTGAAAACCATGAAATCTGGGGTAGGTATTCGTTAGATGAATATTTTTATCTTTTATTAATCCTCAGATACCATGAGATGGGAAAGGACTAAGTTTATTTCTTATTCTCATACTATGCACTGACAAGCCTATAGTTAGTATTAACATAAATTGAATCATCTACTTTATACTACTCTTTATCAGTATACTAGAAGCCCAGTGCATGGATTTGTGCACCGGTGGGGTCCCTCGGCATGGCCTGTGGGGATCAGGCTGAAACTGGCATCCAACATCCCCTGAGGGATATAGTAGTGCGGGAAATGGCAGACAGCTGGGAGGAGCCGCTCCTACTCATCCTGGCCCCGCTCAGGTCAGCTGAGCAGTGCTCCCTCTGTGGGCTCATACTGATCACCAGGGGGGCAGCTTCTGCATTGCGCATCTGCCCCCTGGTAGTCAGTGTGTGTCATAGTGACTGGACGACCAGTCAAACGGTCGACTGGTGGCTTAGGCTTTTATATATATAGACTAGAGGCCCAGTACACGAAAATTCGTGCACTTGGGAGGGTCACTCAGCCCGGCCTGCACCCTCTCACAGTCCAGGAGCCCTTAGGGGATGTCCAAATGATGGCTTAGGCCCGCTCCATGGCGGGCCTAAGCCACAGTCTGGCCTCCCTCTGTGGGAGGTGACCAGCGGGCTGATCAGGGGACAGCAAGCAGCCAGCCCCGCCCTGAATCGTCCCGCTGCAATCACAGTCACCGGTGGCCTCCCTCTGTGGGAGGCACCCCTGGCAGGCCTATCTGGGGGTAGTGAGCAGCTGGCCCCGCCCTGAATCATCCCGGTGCTGCCTGTGGCCTCTTTCTGCGGGAGGCAACCGGGCGGGCAATCGGGATGACGCCAGC